TCCTGTTATCCCGGATCTCTCCAATACCTTTACCATGAAGGGGTCTTGGATTTTTCAGCATCTAGCAAAATGATCATGTGATTTTTGTTTCTCAGCTTGTTTATATGGTGGATTACATTGATGTATGTTGAACCATGTCTGCATCCCTGGGATGAAGCCTACTTGACCATGGTGGATGATTTTTCTGATGTGTTCTTGGATTCCATTTGCCTGTATTTTATGGAGTATTTTTGCATCAATGTTCATGAGGGATATTGGTCTGAAGTCCTCTTTCTTAGTTGTGTCTTTGTGTAGCTTGGGTATCAAGGTTTATTGAAGTCTCATAAAGAGAGTTTGACAATGACCCTTCTGCTTCTATTGTGTGGAATACTTTGAGGAGAATTGGTATTAGCTGTTCATTGAATTTCTGGTAGAATTCTGGCCCTGGACTTTGGTTGGAAGACTTTTGGTGACTGCTTCTATTTCCTTAGGGGTTATAGGCCTATTTAAATTGCTTATATGGTCTTGATTCAGTTTTTGTAAGTGATATCTACCTTGTGTTTTGATGGAATGTTCTATAGATGTCTGTTAAACCCAATTGGGTCATAACTTCTCTGTCTGGTGGTCCTGTCTAGTGGTGAAAGCGGGGTATTGAAGTCTCCCACTATAAGTGTGTGAGGTTTTATGTGTGATTTGAGTTTTAGTAATGTTTCTTTTATGAACATGAATGCCTCTGTATTTGGGGCATAGATGTTCAGAATTGAGACTTCATCTTGGTGGATTTCTCCTGTGATGAGTATGAAATGACCTCCTTCATCTCTTTTGATTGATTTTAGTTTAAAGTCTAATTTGTTAGTTATTGGGATTGCTACATCCACTTTTTTCTTGGGTCCATTTGATTGGAAAATCTTTTCCCAACCCTTAACTCTGAGGTAACATCTGTCTTTGAAACTGAGGTGTTTTTCTTGTATGCAGCAGAAGATTGGATTCTGTCTTCGAATCCATTCTATTAGCCTGTGTCTTTTTATGGGCTACTTAAGTCTGTTAAAATTGAGGGGTATTAATGACCATTGATTGTTCATTCTTGTTTGTTTTGAATTTGGTGGTGGTGATGGAATTCTGTGTGGATTTCCACCCCTCTTTTGGCTGTTGGTAAAGTGGGATTATCTATTACCTATATTTTTCTGGTTGTAATTAACTTCCTTGGGTTGAAGTTTTCCTTCCAGAATTTTCTGTAGGGCTGGATTAGTGGATATGTATTGTTTAAATCTGGTTTTGTCATGGAATATCTTGTTTTCTCCATCTATAGTGACTGAAAGATTTGCTGGTTATAGTAGTCTGGGCTGGCATCTGTGGTCTCTTAGTGTTGGTAGGATATCTATCCAGGACCTTCTGACTTTCAGAGTTTCCATGGAAGTCAGGTGTAATTCTGATAGGTTTGCCTTTATATGTTACTTGACCTTTATCCTTAGCTGCTCTTAATATTCTTTCTTATTCTGTATGTTTGGGGTTTTGATTATTATGTGGCAAGGGGACTTTTTTGTGGTCCACTCTATTTGGTATTCTGTAAGCTTCTTGTACTTTCATTGGCATGTCTTTGTTTAGGTTGGGAAAGTTTTCTTCTATGATTTTGTTGAATATGTTTTCTGCTCCTTTGATGTGGGTCTTTTCAAGGTGTTCCCATATTTCTTGGATATTTTGTGTTAGGGATTTGTTGGATTCAAGATTTTCTTTGGTCGATGAATCTATTTCTCCTAGTGTATCATTAACGCCTGAGATTCTCTCTTCCATCTCTTCTATTCTGTTGGTTATGCTTGCATCTGTAGTACCTGACCATTTACCCAGATTTTCTATTTCCAGCATTCCCTCAGCCTGTTTTTTTTTAATTGTCTCTAAGCTTTCAACCCTTGCACTGTTTGAATTGTTTCTTGAAATTTTTGCTTTGTCTTTTCCTCCATTTCTTGAATTTTTTGGTTTGTTTTTTCTTCCATTTCTGTAAGGGATTTTCTCATATTCTCCTCGAGGGTGTCTATCATTTTCATGAAGTTGTTTTTAAGGTCATTCTCTTCTGCTTCATCTGCTTTGGGATGTTCAGTTCTTGCTGGTGTAGAGTCTCTAGACTCTGATGGTGTCATATTGGTTTTTCTGTTGCTGAGTGTATTTTTATATTGTCTCCTTCCCATCCCTTCTTTTAGTGGGTACAGAAGGAGCTCTTCCTCTCCTGGTGGGTACGGGACCAAGGTTCCCTTCTGGTGAGTGCAAGCAGGTCCAATGCTCTGGTGGTTCTCCTCTTCCCATAGATGGAGGCAATCCAAGTACTGGGGCCTTAGCAGTTTCAGGGTGGGCTGGACCCCATCAGGATGGGATCCACAGTACACAGTCCCCAAGCCTCAGCTGGTTCCAAGCAGGGCACTGGAAGGCAGGCCAGAAAACCTTGTTGTGGTTTTCTATAATGGTTTCTGTTTGTTGCAAAGAGAACTTTCCTTGATAAAGAAATTTTCTGCTACCCTTAGCTATGGACATAAGGACAAATTTTTAGTGTTTTAGGATTTATGCTGGTTTTAGATTCTCCAAGATCCATGACTTTACTAGGCCTGTGTAACTGGCTAAGATTCCAGTACTAAGCATAATTTCCTCTTAACTTAAGCAGGTCTTAAATCCAATTATTGATCCAACAGTTACTACTAAGGTATGCATGCTACTACTGCAGTCTTGGAGTTAATGTGCCATGCTGGTCCTGATTGTGTTTCATAGGCATCATAGCAGGGCAGCGCTCTTGGTTGCTTCCCTTCTTTGGAAGCTTGATTGGCACCTTCTGGTACCAAAAAAGCTGGTCCTTAGGGTGGAGGTTTTCAGATCAGTTCCAGCTCAGGGGCCTCTGGACTCTGTGTCTGAAACCCATGGTGTCTTCAGCAATAGCAACTACCTTCCAACTCTGGGGGTAGGGGAAGGCAACCAAGGGCAATAGTAATAGCCTTTGTGTTTTAGGGAGATGACCAACAAAAAGAGTACATCTCCTGCCTGATATTGAGGTTTTTCTTAGGTGGCCTTTGGCTCTTAGAGAGAGCATTATCAACCCAGATGAGAAAAGTTCATTTAAACTGTATCTGTATATTTATACACAGACTTATATGTATTATAGGGTGAGTTTTTTGTTTGTTTAGGTAAATAGTTAACAGTATGATTCCTTTTGACTTACTTATTTCACCCCCTTCCCTCTTTTTGTGTTTATCTCCTTCCCAAGTTCCTGATTCTTGAGTTTCTAGATCCAGAAAGACAACATTACATAATAGAAAGAGCCATACTAGGTAATATGAAAATTTGTAGCCAACAATGTTTGATACACTTCCATGTTTTTCAAAGTTGGTTGATCTTTGTATTTTATAATCAGCAGTACTGAGAATGCCACCTCACATAAATATGTAGTACAATATAGCAAAAGCATCTTTAGGACCATTTCAGAAATTGGAAACTCAAGTCAGCAGCACAAATAGCAATTTTAAAAAATCAAACATTCTAACACAATACAATCAAAAAATGTACTGATTTGATACATGCTAAGGAATCATGGCAAGAAAATATTAAAAGTCTGTTTTCTATGAGCCATTATGTTTCTATAAGAAGAAAAACTTGATATGTACAATAAAAAACACTGCAGTTCACACCATACAATAGTCTCAAATCCAAAGCAAAGTGCCTCAAGCAGCATTTGGTAATGTGTGGCATGAGGACATATGCACTGTAGTATACATGTTATGTGTTAGTACAATTATGTAGTGTAGGCTAACACTCCCAGAAACACCTCAGACTTGTTAAGCATATGACTTTTATTTAACATTGGTTTTTTATTGTTGCCAAACTTTTCATGACCCCCCACATTCAGGTTCATAAGCCCTATGGGTAAACTATGCTGTATAGTATTCCTCTCATTCTTTTTTTTTTTTTTTTTTTTGGTTTTTCAAGACAGGGTTTCCCTGTGGCTTTGGAGGCTGTCCTGGAACTCGCTTGGTAGACCAGGCTGGTCTCGAACTCACAGTGATCCGCCTGCCTCTGCCTCCCGAGTGCTGGGATTAAAGGCGTGCGCCACCAACGCCCGGCTTCCTCTCATTCTTAAAGGGTCAAAATTGTCTCTCTCATGTTTTTCATGTCTTTGTGTGTATATGTGTATGTGTGTGTTGTGAATGTGTCTAAATAATGTTTACATGTGTGGGTGTTATGTATGTATGTGCATGTTTACACGTGTGGTCTTGTACACATATGTGTGTGCACATATATTCAGAGGTCTCAATTTGATGTCAGGAATCATCTCCATTGCTATTCTTGCCTCACTGAAGCATAGGCTTTCAGTCAAACCTAGAACTGGCCGGTAGAGCCAGTGTCAATAGCCAGCTTGCTCTGGGGATCCTATCATCACTTTCTGAGGCTGGATTACAGAAAGGCCATCATGCCTTCATAGTACTTGCATGTAATCTGGGGATCCAAACTCTAGTCCTCTCTCTTGCATGAGGATAAGCACTTTAACCGCTGATTTAATGAGATCTTAAATGTTGTCTTTTAGAGTCAAAATCTCAACTAATGCTAGGGTGGGTGGGGGAGAAGAGGAAGGAAATTGACTGCTAGGTATCAGAGGGGGTACCCTTGGAGGCTAAAAGAGGGCATCTGACCCCCCTGACCTGATGGGAGAGTTAACTCTGAGCCATCTCTCCAGCCCCAAAGATAACATTTTTTTTGAAGCAAAGTTGGGAGAGATGTTTTGTTTTGCAGGGAAGAGGTTTGTTTGCATGGCGATAAGATCTCATCTAATATAGCCTTGGCTGGCCTGAAACTTACTGTATAGGCTATTCTCAAATCCAAAGAGATCTGCCCACCTCTACCTACGCAGTCACAAATGCTGAGATTAAAGATACTCGACACCACACCTGCAAATTAACTTTTCTTTTAATGCTTTGAAGTCAGTTGAAGCTAGTTTTAACTGTGTGCATAAGCATCTAAATGTCTGCTTTTTAATTCCTGTTTAACAGATCTTCAGGATTTATTCCACAAGGCTGGTCAAGATATGGATGGGATGCTGACCTACCAGGAAATCTGGAATTCCCTAGGTTCTGCCATGCCAAGAGCAGAGAGCTTGAGAGCCTTTGATTCCAATGGAGATGGGAGATACTCCTTCCGAGAGCTAAGAGTAGCATTAGGTATCTAGTATTGTCAAGCATATTTTGAAGTGGATGTGTACCCTGGACTACCTAAAATCTACTTACCTTAAAAAAAAAAAAACCAACTTTTGACTTAACCCATCAATTCTCCAGCCCTTCACACAACTGTAGCAGACTTATTGCCACCTTTTAACACTTGTTTGAAAATGCTATCCAAAAAATTATTTTTTTAAAAAAATTACTTATAATATGATATTGTTTGGAAATCTATGATTTCCCAAAGCCAGTAAGATCTTGTAACTTAAAAGTTGCCAGGAGAAAAATAATAAAGCCCTCTATCTCTTTCCTGTTTTGAGGGGAAGAGAACTTATCTTTTGAAGCTGGAAAATATGTATATAGAGATAATAAGTCACTGTTTAAATTTCATATGAATTTGCCTTAAATTAGCTGCACTTTATAGAGCCTCAGAATATGTCTTTCTTTGAAATATGAGTCTTTTCTGTTTGTAAATATATAAAATGAACAATTGTGCATATTGTGTAGAAAGTCAGGAGAGTGGCTTTGAACAGGATGAACCAGTGACTTGTGAGTAGTTGACAGACTGCTCTGGGTGGCAGCTGGAACTGTCAGCATCTCTTTAAGGCAACCCTTAAAGCCATGGGGTTTGTTTGCCTGGGATCTGGGGCATCAGGTCAGGAAGTGGATGCTGTGCAGAGGGTCCAACTCCAGGCTCAGGAAAGTCAGATTCAGGGTCATTGCTCCAAATCCTAACATTAAAAACCAGAGAAGTCTCATTGTGATTTCCCTCATTTTTAATTATCTTTCAAGGTTTGAGCATTAAAGTTATTCAGTGGGGAATTATGTTTTCCCTTCAAGCAAACTAGATTGTCTTTTCTACCCACCCACTGGAGACTACCTTAAAGTCATGACTGCCTACCTTGGCACCATCTCCAGTCTGGAATGAGAAGGCTCATGTCCTTGGTCACTGTGTCAAATTAGTTGTCCAGAGCATTAGAGAAAAGCTCTGAGTTTTGACTCTTTGGGATTTTTACCTCTGGACTAACCAAGAACTTGTTTAATTTCTTGGCAGAAGGCTGAAGCCAAAATGTGGTCAAATGAAAGGTGAAATCATACTCTTTCCACACAATTGTCCACTCAGAAGTAGCTATAGGTTTTCTGTCCAGAGGATGCCACAGTGAGCAGGCAGGGGCCTTCCAGTGATGGTGGCAGTTTTTCTAGACCTAAAAAGTAAGTACAGTGCTTCCCCCTTTATGTACTTTGTAGGCAAGCCATGAAAGGCTAGAAGGAGATCACCAATGTCACTGCATGTTGAGAACACTTCCAGTATTGTTCTTAGGCGTCTCTGGGCAACATGAGCGGAAGACCACACAGAACCTCACTTCACCAAGCCAGTCAGGGAAACACTGGAGAAGCTTCTTTAGTGCAGATCATTCCTGTTTAATTTTGTTCAAGTTGCCCTGTCAGCTGTGGATAGTCTAGTACCCTTAAACCTTTAAAGATGTTTGGGTTTTGATTTGTTTTGTTTTTGTGTTTTATTTCCTTTATATGACATTCAGCTTGGTGTTAGCTTTTTTTTTCTAGACATATTAAAACTCAGTGAAGGCAAGCTAAAGTTCTCCTGTGCGTGTGTCTTATCTCATGGTTCTCCCTCTGTAAGTTTTTTGCCTTAACGTTTGCCTTGCCCACTTCCTTGGAAAGGTTGAAAACACACTTCAACATTATTCTGGCACTTTAGGTAACTTGAAGATAACTCTTGTTCTTCTGGCTGCCTTCCGTATTCCCCCTCTTTTTAATATATAGATATATACCCATACAGATTTTGTAACAACCAAATAAAGTTCTAGCAATAAATTGAATTATTCTGCTATATTTGTATATATTGTACCATAAATAGTATGTCTGTACCGGGAAGGTATTTTTTCTTTTTTGAGAACTGATTTATATGAAATATACTGAGGGTAATGTAGCTTGTCCTTTTTAGTTTCAAGTTTTTATTTGTAGGCAGGTACTTTCATGACACCTTAACTCTTTGTGGTATATGCTTTTCATTGGGGAAGCAGGGTTTATTTCTTGGTCTTTCTTCTGTTCTTTCCCCTTCAAGCTTGTCTGCCAGCATCCCCCCCCCAGCCATGTATTGTCCCCTCCCCTACCAAGTTGATCACAGGTATCCATAAGTGTCCTCTGACCTATGACCCTCTTCTCATCCTGCCTGAGGCATTACCAGACCTCCTGGGCAGAGGTAGGTATCTTAGCCTCCTTTGCTAAAAATGACAGACTGACTGGCTGAGAAGCCACAAAAGCCTGTGGCTCAGTGCAGATTGGAATTTTCATTTGTACATTGTCTTAACTTGTACATCCAGTGCCTTGTGTTAGTCAGGCTTCACCAGCCACAGACCACCTGTGAGAAGAATTGGATGCTGGTGGGGAGCTTGGCTTTGGGTTTAAATCCTTTGGCCTTGTCAGTCAGCAGCTCTCGAGTGCTTCCCACCTTAGTTTCTTAAAGCATTGCTCCCTGGCCCTTTGCTTAAATGCTGTGTACCATATAGCATAGTATATACTGAATAACCTTCCTCAAGCTAGTCATGGTAGTAGTACATACCTACAATCCAGCTCTTGAGAGGCTGATGCAGGAAAATAATGAGTTCTAGTCCGGGCTACATAGTGAAATCTTGTCTCAGAAAAAGTACCTAGCTTAAAGATGACTTCAGTGGCAGTTAAGGATCAGAACAATGCTCGCACTAAAGAATGAGTCAAATGCAAAAGAGCTAAGGAGTGGGCAGTCTTGTTTCACTGCCGGCTCCTTTCCCTTCCATTGCACTTCTCTTCTCTCTTTGCTGTTGCTGGACACAGCCCGTCAGCCCCCCTCTCTGGTCCCAGCGTCACAGTTGAAGATTTTGACTATGATAGGCTCACACTCATAATGGCCTATTGAGTTGTTTTTAGTGACAGCTGTTGTTTGCTACACACCTCATTGGCTTGCTTACCAGCCTCTAGATATGGTCCCTTCTCTCACATTCAAGCCAGAATACATTGGGGTATTCCTGAGACTTGAAAGAGCGTGTATTGTTTGTTATATGAACCTAACCTACCTTGTTGTTTTTCTCATATTAAGAAATGTAAATCTACTTTATATTAATGGCGCTATTTTGGTAATGTAAAAGCAATTTTGGTTCTGTTTAGGGAGTGGATTCAAGGTTTCCATGACTTCATTTGAGCTTTACTGATTTCCTATTTTAACTTATCTAAATAAAACATTTCCTTTCTCTCATTGTGTCTGACTGAAATCTTCCCTGCTTTCCCTAATTACTAAAGGGGAGAACTTGCTTTAGTCCATGTTTTTGTGGACTGCTTGCTACCTCCTCTTAAAATGAAAGGCTATTAGCGTCACCAAACAGTATTCAAGAATCTACCTTAGGAAAACAATGTTTTGTCAAGGAGGCTCCTGAAGCTAAACAAAAAAACAAAACCTCACAAGAACTGTCTCTGCTGTTAGTTGCCTGGCAGAAGACCCCTTTGTTAGATCCACCTATAACAATCCTTTGCTGAAAACAACACACACTCTGTTCACAGGACAGAAATCAAGCAGGAGCTGGGCAGGAAGCTTCCTAATAGACAGCCCTCATAATGCATGAAGGTGCTCTCCAGGCTGCTAGAGGAGAAAAGTCATCAACAGTCAGCTGTGGACCCTGTGTGCCATACTACTGACCAGCCAGGCAAGATACGCCCACTGGAACAATAGTAGCAACTCTATTACAGGAATACCCAGCCATTTTGTTTGAACTTGAGCCCCACTCCATAACAGGGAATTCATAATCTAGTATCATAAGCTCAATTAAAAGCCTGTAGCTAGACAGGTCATAGACCTTACTTACTTACTTACTTACTTACTTACTTACTTACTTACTTACAAAGACTCATAACCACCCAAGTAAGGGTTGAATGTCCATCCATAAGTGAGACATTTGTATAGCCCCTCCAGATTCAGCGCTCATCATAGAATGGGAAAACAAGGAACTGGAGGAAGTAGCGGGATGGTGTAGAACACTGACATTGAGCATGATGTGGCTGTTGTACTCTCAGACCCACCGTACACATGAAAGACTGAGCATGGCATCATTCCATCGTGGGTCAGGAAGGAGCTCAAGGGCCCCACCCCTCCCTGAGGACTCCTAATGAAATTCATTGTTCATTTTTTGCTTCTTGTTTGTTTGTTTGTTTTTCAAAAAAGACATGAAAGAATTACAGTGTTTGACCTGAGTGGTGAAGGCTGCAGAGCTCAGGCTTTAGGCATATCCAGGGGGAGAGCAAGGAATGAGGCTGCTTTGGTGTCCATTAGAAACTCCACTCAGGCCTGTTTTATGTTTTCAGACTCTATTTAAAGAGCATGTTTTTTTTTTAATTCCATTGACTTTGGTGGGGGAGGAAAAAAAGCTTAAAATCTATTTACTATTACTATAGAGAGTTTGTATGAACAGGACTGGCTTTTCTATACACACGAAAAAATTCACAACATATTTACCAAGTTCTGGGAATCTCCATGTCTCTCCCTTACCATACATTCACAAAATCTGAGTGACCCTTCCACTCAGGGAAGTTTATACATAAAGCTTACAAACTGTTTTGGCTCATTTTCCTAGTGAAAGGAGGTCTGGGAATATATAAATGGTAGAGCACTTGCCAAGGATTGTACAAAATCCTGTGTTCAATCCCCAGCGCTGGGTGGGCAGGGTACACACACACACCACCACCACCACCACCACCACCAAGGGATGAGGTTCCTATTCTATGGCTGAGCCACTCCTTCTCATCTTAAAACGGGACTGAATAGGTAGTGTTAGTCTTTGTCAGTCTTTTAAGGACTGTTCTTCAGGAGATATTAACATTCCCATGTAATAGATCTTAATTTTTGAGGAGTTATGTATATCTTTAGGAAAGATACAACAATGCTGGAGAGATGACTCAGTAGTTAAGAGCACTGATTGCTTTTCCAGAGGACCCAGATTCAATTTCCAGCACCCACATAGAGGTTCACAATTGTCTATAACTCCAGTTCTGGGGATTCTAATGCCCTCTTCTGGCTTCCACAAGCACAGACATACATGAAGGCGCAAAACTCTAAAATTAAAATTAAAATTAAAAATTTAAAGAAAGATATAAGCAATAAAGTCAAGTACAGGGATACAAACCTGGAATCCAGCACTCAGAAGACTGAGGCAGAAGGATCAGGCGTTTAAGAGTAGCCTAACATACACAAGTTCTTAGCCAGCCTGTAATACAGTGAGCCCCCATCTCAAAAAAGGAAGAAAGAAAGAAAGAGAGAGGGGGAAGAAAGACAGGAAGGAAGGAAGAAAGAAAGAAAGAAAGAAAGAAAGAAAGAAAGAAAGAAAGAAAGAAAGAAAGAAAGAAAGGAAAGGAAAGGGAGAAAACATGCAATGGTGAAATCCGTGACCAGATTGATTGAAATGCTGCAGTCACATGCTAAAGACATTGCTCTTCTAGGAACAAATGAGACAGGGGAGAGACTTGGATTTTTAAAAAAATCTTTCTTGATGTGATGTCCAAAATACCCTAACCTCCTTGTCAATACCACTCCTTGAGGTTATCTCTGTTTTCTACCAAAAGGAGCCTTTGGTACCTGCAGCTCCCACTGTCACTGAGAGGAAACTACAGTTCTGAAGCAAAGGGCTTGGCATTAAAGCCGTTTGTCCCATGGGCCAGTATGGGAAGGGAACAGAAATGAACACTCCTTTCAGGGCAGTTGGCCAAAGGGTAGGAGACAGAGTGGTTCAGCATGGGAGGTAGGTTGCAGAGGGACAAAGCAAAGGGCACCTCCTGGAAAATGGGGAGTGGGTGTGGGGAGTCAGTCCGAGGCTGTGGCATTGTTGAAGATGGGGGCTGCTTTGGGACCACCAGGACATGTTGCAAGGGACCGGAGGCTTCACCCGTGGGACTACTGTCTTGCACTGCATAGTTCCCCCCTTCAGAGATATCCAGCTCCCACAAAGTATCTGGATTCTGAACTTCAGTCTTGGCGACAGCAGGGGAAGGGCCAGTGTTGATGGCTGCATTCATGCCATAGTGACGCTGCTTGTTTATCCAGTACAACAGTGGGCTGTAGGTGAACATGGCAGCTCTCATCACTTCCACCCACTGCTGGGCATCTTCTTCTCTCTGCAAGTTCTTCTTCCAGTGCAGAAAGAGAATGCAGCTGCCTATTAGCGAGGAACACAGCCCCAGGAATCCAACGCACAAAGAGATCCACACTAAGGCAGTGAGAAAGAAATCTGATGCGCTCGTGTAAGGTCTGAGCTGTTCCTCATTCCCCTCCCTGGCCTCGTCCCCATTACTCTTTCAATTCCTTCCTCCCTCCTCATTCTCTTGCTCAACACTAGACGTCCAAGTCACGTAAGGGATCATTTTAGCTATTTACAGATAAAGAAACACTAGGTCTAGAAATGGTAAGAGCTAAGTCAGCCTTCCAGGAATCCTTATGTTTCTGGGAAAGATTATCATCTAATTGCTTAGCACTCCAAGAGACCACCACCCTCCATCCATGCAAAATATTTTCCCAAACTATTTGTTCCCCATGCCCAAGAGCACAAAGTGAGGGGCAGGGACTAGAGGTGGTGCACTTACTGCCAGGGAGTCTCAGGTTCTCCTTTAGGGAATCCATAAATATCAGCCTTGGCACCCAGCCTATCGCTCTGGTGAGAGGACATTCATATCTCTCCACCAATAGGAGTCCTCAGAAGGCCCAGGCCTCATTGTTCTCTAAAGGAAGGGTCACCGGGTTCTGTCCACCAGGCATTCCAGGGGCCATGTTTGTGGAGTAGTCAGTCTTATTAATGAAAGGGAGGTACCCATCCAGTGGCATCTCATAGACGATTACCTACTGCTTCTACCAGAGACTGAGCCACCAGGAGAGTTGTCTGCCCTCATCCTTGCAGTGAAGCAGTAGAGCAAGCCCCCAGGGAAGGGCCCTGGCACTCTCAAGGAGCTAACCATGTGGTTAGTGATCAAGGAAACTCCACTGGGTGCCTTCCCCAGTGCCGATTGGGACAGGCAGCACACAGAGCACTGGGCATGCCTGCCTTCAACAAATCTTGGACCAAGCTATCAGAAGAAAACTGGCTCAGGGGAACCAAGCAGTCAGCACACCCTTGGGCTCCTACAATATCTTTTATTTGTTTCATTTCCTCCCTTCGACAAGTGCTGGCAAGTGTTCTTGGGCCCTGTGGGAGCTCTCCAATATCTGGTCCTGCCATTCTTTTCCTCATCTCCCTCCTCATCCTTAACACTCATTCCCTTCTGGCCAGCTCAACACCCTCCCCCCACCATGCCCCTACCTCCCTACACACACACACACACACACACACACACACACACGCACGCACGCACGCACGCACGCACGCACGCACGCACACATGCACATGCCATGCCCCCTGCCTCCCTACACACACACCAGTCACCTTGGGAACTGTCTTATTATGCTGCTTCCTGCCTCCAGAACGCTGCATCTTACCACTGAGCACTTTCTAGGCTCAGCCTAATCCCTGCTGTGTAACAAATAGTCCTTTCAGTTCTCTACCCAGGTGAGATTTAGAGTTGTGTGGTCCAACTCCCTTCAGATGCCTGAGCCCATGGTGGCAGACCTACCCAGCGACCAATCCCCCAGGATTTATTGAAGCCAGGGCCTTGTTTATTACTTCTTAAGGCGGCTTAATCCATTTATGGATAGCTCAGTTAGAAAGTCCTTGGGAGTTGAGCCTAAATTAACTCCTGGGAGAATATACCAACAGGTCCTAACTTACCATTTAGTTTTTCTCCCTTTTATAGTCTCCCATTGTGCCTTGAGGCACTCCTGGTTACTTTTGCATTTCTGTGACCTAGATACCAGACAGAAACAATGTAAAGAGAGTAGGTTTTATTTAGCTCCTGGTTCAGAAGGTTCACTCCATAGTTGCTTGGTCCCATGTGGGTGGGCAGAACATCACAGCCTCGGAGGAACATGACAGAAGATCTTCACTCACATTGCAGCCAACAGGAAGCTGGGTACAGGGCCAGAGGCAAGGTCTGAGCCACAGCCTTCAAAGTCGTGCCCCTTGTGCCCTCTTCTGCCCAGCCTCTTCAGTTTCCACAGCCTCCTAAAATGGTGCCACCAGCTGGGGACCAAGGTTCAAAACGTGAGCTTGTTGAGGACATTTCAGGTTCAAACCAGAGCAGGCACTATTTACAGATTTCTTTCCTAGAATGCCTTTCCCCGGGCCTCTACTTTACTGCCCGCTGCTTCTCCTCCTCTGTTGTTTTCCTCTTTCTCCTGGTCTCTAGGTGTTAGCATGCTCCAGGGTTCAGTCCCTAGCATTCTATCTATTCCCTCCTCAGTGGACATACCCACATTTATCACATTAGAGAACACAAATACACTGATGATTCATAAATTCAAACCTGCAGCCTGGAACACACTCCAGAACTTCAGATTCACATACCCAACAATCTAGTTGACACCCTTCCTTGCCTGTCTATTAAGTTATACTTAAGCTTGGGTTTAAGGGAGGAAAATTACTCACCTTTGGAAGTTTTCATATTTGCTCCACATACTGGAAAATTCCAGCAGTCAGGATGGTCCTTTGAAGAGTAGGCCATATTACTCCTCTGCTCAAAGCCTATGGCAATTTCCCATCTCACTCAGATAAAAACCAGTTCTTAACCACAGCCTCCAAAGCCCTGAGCCATTTAACCACCCAACTCAGTGTTGTCATGTCTACCTCTGTCCCCTCACCCACTGGGATAACCTCTTGCCATTTCAGAAAAGTATAATCATGTTTCACATTTGCTGTTCCCCTTAGCTAGTCTGTTCCTGCAGTCCCCATATAAACCAGTCCCCTCATTTCACTCAGATCTCTTGCTTGGGCAATCCCCCTATACTTGTGTCCCTCATCTTCCTTTGATTTTTCTACATACAAGCATTGTCATTTACCTTGTCCCACTAAAATATAAACTCCATGGATTTATGTAAACATGGTGCTTGCATTAGTTACTTTTCTATTGCTGTGGTAAAAAAATACCATGGGTGAGGTGATTTATAGAACAAGGATCTTTTTTGGCCGACAGTTCCAGAAAGAGGGTCTGTAATGCGAGGAGGCATGGCAGCAGGTGAATGGAGAGTTCACACGCTATCCACACGCAGGAAGCAGAAAGCAATATAGCTGGAAGCGGGCAAGCCTACACACTCTCAAAGCCTGCCCCCTGTGGTATACGCCCACCAGCACGGCTCCACCTCCTAACGGTTCACAGCCTGAGTCTACAGGGGACATTTCTCACTGAAACCACCACAGATAGGGATAACTTCTGTAAAAAGTAGAGCGCTAACAGGGTGAAGTAGAGTAAAATTAGACTCTAAAAGGGGCTGGGGGTGATGTGGCTCTGCCGGTTAAAGATACTTGCCATGTGAGCCTGGCGACCTGTGTTGGATCCCTGGAACCCATGGAAAGGAGGAAGGAGAGAACCCACTCCACAAAACGGTCTTCTGCCACACAATTGCCTCTCCCAACCCCAACACACAATAGTTTTTGAATGGTGGGGAGGTTCATCCAGAGAGGTCTCTCTGAGTTCTAGATGAGTATTCCAGCAGAGGGAACAACAGTGCCAGAAGCCTGAACCAGGAATCCTGAGCCAGGTACAGGCCAGCAGAGTGAGACTTTCATAATCACCCACTGCGGCGTCCCAGCATTGGGAGCCTCATGTCTAATGACAGGTTGCATCGAACAGTTTAGAGATTTCTGTTCCTGCCTCAGGAGAGGCTCCTATCAACCGAGGCTTCCATGTGACTACCCTCACATAGGGTACACTCGTGCCGGCAGCAAGTGTGACAGAGATGATGTCGTCATTGTCCCTAAATTCCCATCTGGTTAATCAGGTGAAGAAGGTGGTGGCATTTTAGTTGGGGGGGGGGGGACCGACACATTCTAAGGATGAAAAAAAGAGCCTGAATAAAGATTTGTCAAGGACAATTCCTAGTGTCTCCGAGAGTAGTTCAATTACATGCCAGGAACAGAAGGAACCCAGACTTCAGAGGCACTGCGTTTTAAAAAGAGCTCAGCTCCTAGGTAGACCTTGCTACCTCAATGATTTGCAGCCAGTTTAACTTCCCCATCTGTAAAATGAGGGTAATACCTACTTCATAGGGTATGAGGCCAATGGGACCTTCTGCAAATAGAAACCAAAAAAGAGAGGCTTCAGCTGTGATGTTCAAACATCCTTTGCTGCTAAAGGAATTGTTACAGCTAGAGTCAAGTAAATTTAGAAAAGGGGCAAGCCCAGTGAGAACCTGAAGATCCAAGCCAGCTTTCCAAAAGAAGCTTGGTGCGCAGAGGCTGCTGGTCCCGGGAGGGAGGACGTGAATCCCGGCAGACTCCCAGGAGGAGAAGCACCACTACAGAGCAGGTGGGCAGAGAGCCACCAGGCCTTAGCGTCGCTGCCCCGTCTCCAGCGCCCGGAACCTTGCGCGTGCGGAACCTCGGTGGCGGAACACCGGCGACGCGGACCTTGAGGGCGATGGAGCAGGCGCGCGGGCCGGGGGCCGAAGCTGACGCTCCGGAGGAGGAGGAGGGGGAGGCGCGGGCGGCCATGGCGGCCGTGGTGTCTGCTGCGGGTGGAGCGTGCCCCGCAGTTCTGCAGGTGGCCGGCCTCTACCGGGGCCTATGTGCAGTGCGCAGCCGCGCCCTAGGGTTGGGGATCGTGTCACCAGCACAGCTGCGCGTGTTCCCGGTACGCCGGGGCTCCGGCCCGCCCTCCGGGGGAGCAGCTGGCAGCGGGGTCAGCGAGCTGGAAGCTAACCCCTTCTACGACCGCTACCGGGACAAGATCCAGCAGCTGCGCAGGTGCGGTCCTGACCCGCTGGGGGGTGGGGGTGGGGACTCGAGGCGCGCGGGCAGAGCTTCCGGTATATACTACAATACTACCATGCTTGGTGGGCTTGTACTGTCCCGACTGTACCAGCAGTTTGTTTCCCAGTTCAGAGAGGCCAAGTCACTTGCCTAAGGTCACTTGGCTGGTCTCTGTAGAACCTTTGGATCTTCCCACAGTAGTCTTTGTGCTCGGATCTCAGAACGCCAGGGTGAGCTCTTTAAAGCCCTGTGAGGAAGACAGCTCCTATGTAGAAATGTGAAAATGAAGGCACTTGATTTGCTCAAGGTCACATGTTGAATCAGCGGGTGCCTGACCAAGAGATTAGGTTCCCAGACTCCCAGCAAAGACTAATGGGTTACATTTGGATTGCCCATTAAGATAATATTGGTGGAGGATCACTTGCGCACAGGGCCTTGAGCCCCATCCCCAGCCCTAAGGGGGATAAGTGGGGTAGGATCGTGGCTGTTAAGGTAGGTATAGTGGGTGCCTAGTTCCTGGTGGAAGAGTTGAAGGTCAAAAATGGAAAGGGGGTTTGAGAGAGTTTGGTGGTATAAGAAAGCAATTAAGAAAGGAAACAGACATTGAGGGCTGTAAATTCTCTGCATTTTGTCTCATTTTAATTCCACTCCCTTAATTTTTTTTCTTCATCTTCCTCTAACTAGTGCCCACCACTTCTAGTGTTGGGACCCCCCACCTGTCCACTTTAACATGTACATGATTGTTCACACTTTTTGAAGCAGTGATGGAACAAATGAATGGCAACTTTTGATCTCCTTCAAACAATAGATATTCTTCAAATAGTAATGAAAAGAGTGATACTTGGCATCGCATCCAAATGGAATGGGGCACCCTTTAATGTTTTGATTATGAAGGTCTACTAAAGGGTTAAACAAGATGTCTTGTCTCCTCACCCATGGTGTTGTGTGTCTTCTAGCCAAGTAGCTGGGATCATATTTTCATCTCAGCATACAAAGGTAAACATCTCATGGTCAGCCACACATTCTGAAGTATTCCTAATAATGATGGCAGCCCCAGTCTGGCCTTCAAGCCAGAAGAGCATCCCCATTTTAAGATAAATTCTGATGTTATATCTGCAGGTTCTTTGGAGAATAAGTTAGGGAGATACTCAGGTATTAACTTTTCTCCCAAAGCATCTACTTGGAGCCCAGGATCTGAGAATGGGGATAGAGGGAGACACCAAAAATTAGATAATTCATGCAAAAGCTTAACACCTAGTAGGTGTGCTATCGTATTCCTGCCTGCAGAGCTGAACCAGAAATATGACTTCAAAGAATTCTTTCTATCTGGAATAGTCTAAGTACCTACAATGTTGAAGTACCTGAGAAACTAAGCCCTGCGTTACCTGGGAATAACCTGCCAGAGAAAAAAGTGTACTGGCTTTGCTTTCTACTTTCTTGACTTCCAGGCTTATACCTAGTTCTTAACAACTGAGAGCAAACTCTAAATCCTCATAATGCCCGTGTCCTTTCTTTGTGGACGTGGCCTATGATGCTTTGTTATTTCAAAATCCAGAAAGGCCTAGATGCTTTACCCTTTGATTTTCCTTTGATCAGGTCTGACCCAGCCGCCTTTGAGTCCCGCCTGGAGAAGCGCAGTGAGTTTCGGAAGCAACCAGTGGGGCACTCCAAACAAAGTGATTTTATCAAATGTGTGGAGCAGAAGGTAAGGCCTACCTGGTCCTTTGTGTGTGTGTTTTAAGTTTACCAGCATTCCTCCCAGTCCTTACCCTTGGAGGGATCTCACTGATGGATGGTGGTAAACTGAACATCTGATCTTTACTCCTTCTCCCTCAATAAATGTATATCCTATTCTTTCTGGGCAAGATCCTGTAGTCATGATGGAATGTAGAGAACTGAAAGGATGGTCCCTTTCCAAGGAATGCAGTCTAGTGATCAAATCAAGGTACACATGGCGCTGGGCTATAGGGAGCCGGGAAATGTTTACAGTGGAAGTATGGGGTTCAAACACAGGGTCTCACTGTCTATCACTGGCTGGCTTGGGACTTGCCATGTAGACAAGGTTGGCTTTGAACTCAGATAGATTTCTCTTGTCTCTGTTTTCTGGGAGGTGGGATTAAAGTTGTGTACCACTACACCCAGAAAGATTTTTTAAATAATTTTTGTTATGTATAGGTGTGTATGCATGTGAGTATGTATACATGATTGCAGAGGCAATTGAGTTTAAGAAGTAGAAGTAAGATGATGGGCGAAGTCCTTCTGTGTATATGTTGTCTTATTAGTTGATTAAATAAAGCACTGTTGACCAATAGGGAAGCAAGATAGGTGGAACTAGGAGTCAAGGAGGATTCTGGGAAACAGAGGCACAGTCAGTCACAATGTAGGACGCAGGAGAAGAGGTCTGGACCCCTTTCTCCGGTAAGAGAAGACCACATGGAAATACTCAGATTAGCAGTTATGGGTTAATAATTAAGTCAGAGCTAGCCGATAAGAAACCAAGCAAACAGCCAACAGCTTCATAATTAATATAGTGTCCTGTGTGTTCATTTGGGACTGATGTGGCCCTGGAACTAGGCTGGCGGGAAGAGTACATGTTACAGTAAAGTAACTTAACTGCTGAGAAAACAGGCCCTGGAACCACATGCCAGGGACTGAACCATAGCTTTCAGCTACCAGCTAGGTAATTATGGGTAAATTATATAACTTCTCCGTGCACCCGTGTTACCTATTTGTGAATTAGAAATAATAATAATACCTACCTTGCAGAATCATGCTAAAGACTTAATGAACTAGTATCATCAGAACTCTTCAGTTCAGTTCCTGGCACATAAAAAGGACTTAATGTATCATTAGTCATTGTAATCCTCGAGCAGTCAAAGCTGGAGAAAGCATGTGGATAGCTGTGTGTATAATAACCTAGGACAAGACTTTCCAAACTCTTTACCATAACCCACAGTAGGAAATAGATTTACATTGCTACTTAGGATACACGTATATGTTATAACAAACACATTTTTATGGAACAGTGCTCTTGAGATATGTAATACATTCCTTTTCTGTTTTGAGACTGGTTCTCACGCTGTAAGCCAGTCTCTTCGGGAACTTAATAGGTAACCTCTTGAGCCCTTGGTAGTCCTCCTACCTCAACCTCCCACGTGTGCGGGTTGCAGGTGGGAGCCATCCTGCCTGGGGAGTGCATTCTTAATATTTCATTTTCTAAAAAATTCTGACGACAATCCACCGAATTGATTTCACAACATATAATTTGGAAACTTCTAAGCTGGGAGATGGATGGAATGTATTCATGAGAGACTTCAGCCAGGTTGGGGCACTTTGTTGTTTCTGACCCTTTTAAAGAGGAAGTGTATTTGTTAACAGAAATACCTTAATGAAGAAAGGTTGATTTGGCACATGGAACATCATGTTAAATGGGGTGAGCTCAGGAATCAGAGACAGGGGACTATAAAAAAGACTAGGAAAGATGGAGCCCTAAGGACATGCCCCTAGTGACATATTTCTTCCCGATAAACCCCACATCCTGCCTTTCTTCACTTCCCAGTACCATAATAGTGTGAATCCAGCAAAAGATTAATCCATTCATTAGGCCAGAGCCCTCATGACTAATCACCATGGGAAGCACTATCACAGACTTACCTGGAGGTATACTTTACAAATCCTGCAGACACCTTTCAATCTAATCAGTGTAACAAGGAATATTAACCATCACAAGAAGTTTAATTAATAGAGGAACTGAGAACTTGGACACCTACCACTAGAAATGCTATCAGAAATAATCAGTTTTAGAAAATACATCTCTCCGTTACTCACCTGACCTGTGGCTGGTGTTGATAGGTCAGAGGGCCAAGCACAGAAAGCCCAAAAAGAACAAATTGGGAAGGAATTTGTCATGTTCCTTCACACTCCTTCATGGTGACGGGTGTAGAATGATCTTCCTGTACTGACATTCAGTGATCACTAACAAACCCTTTCTCACCTTTGCATCTCAGAATCTTAGCAGAAGGAAAATTGTCCATAAACAATAACTCTTAGAATAGTATAAGAGTGTTGTAAGAGTGGATAGAATTGAGTTCTTGGGTACAGAATTACTTAGCAAGATTGGCTACTTCAGTGACTTGGTTTTCTTTTTTAATGAGGAAAGTATAGTTTAATAGCCTGTCTCATCATGTATTTCAGACACATGCCTCAGGGAAACAGCCTGTGAGCAAAGGATTTACTAAGGACAAGGTAGGTTTCTAACTAAATACAAAATCCAAGTCTAAAGTCATATGGGACATCTATAATAAGAGGCTGCAAATTTGAACATATTTATTGTGCTCTGTGATTTTTTTGTGTAGGGTGATTTTTTTTTCCAACAGTAGAGATGAGAAATATTTCTCTAGATTTCTGTGTCCTTCACATGACCCCTGGCTTAAGTATGGGTTCAAGGATGCTACAAGAAATTTGAAGGAAATGAAGTGCACTCCTTTCTATAGAAGCACCACATAGCCTTTCTATCAAAGCACCATATGTAGCCTGTACTTTATTGTGCAAATAAGGAACTCTGGTAGAACAGCAGCCAGGGTTTCTCCTTTTTTACCAGCTGCAAAGTGCTGCAGGACTCACTGGTGAGACTTTTTGGGGAGTACTTGATGACCTAATAGATACTCCCCAGGAATAGCGCTGTGAAGGTCTGTGTGGGAGTGTTGAATGCTTATTCTGTACCTACCAAGCTCTGCTTCACTGTGCTGACATTCCTTTCTACAAGGCTTTAGACAGAATAAAACTAGGGTGGTTGTTGTTGACTGTAAATGTTAATTGCTATTTCTTCTTTCAAGACTCTCAGTTCAATCTTTAACATTGAGATGGTGAAAGACAAAACTGCAGAGGAAATAAAACAGGTAATGAATGTACACTCTCTGAAAGTATCTGCTCTGTGAAACAAGTCTGACAACAGAAAAGGCCATATATTAAATCCTAGCTCTGCCACTTATTTGATTAGACAAGTCAATTTTTTCAGGGCCTGAGTTTCCCCACTGTAAAGTGATAGCAACTATACATCTACTTCATGAGCTATTTGAGAATTAAATGAGTTAACATTTGTGAAACACTCAGAATAAACCCTGCACAGGCTAAGTGCTATAACTCTGTTTTAAAATAAATGAAAAAATACCATGTTGGGAACTTGTTTGTAGATTTCCACAGACAACCCCTCCCCTAACCCTGTATTCACTTCCTTAGCATTGTGACCTGAGTAAGGACCATCTATAGAAGCTTCCTGAACATCTCCCTTGAAAGCATTCGTTATCTCTCCTGCCTGTTTGGTCATTCTGTGTACCTTGATTTGCATGGTTCATTTTTGTTTGGTTGATTGGTTTTGGTTTTTCAAAACAGTGTTTCTCTGTGTAGCGCTGGCTGTCCTGGAACTCACTTTGTAGACCAGGCAGGTCTCAAACCCAGAGTCGACCTTCCTCTTCTTCCCCAGTGCTGGAATTAAAGGCATGCGCCAACACCACCTGCTGTTCATTACATTTTTACACCTATAATTCTTTTCTCTCATGTAGCACAAATTCTAGTTGGTCTTAATACTAAAAGAGAGACAGATATTGAGGTTAAAGCTGAAGATCAGAGAAGGAAAGTGGCCAGCCATTAGGAAGTTCTCACCTCTACCAATGCTCAAACCGAAGGGGCAATCCTGTCCTAAGACTGCATCTCCAGACTGCACCTGTCCCCACCAAAACTCAGACTGCACTGAACTCCTGTCTCCTCCTGTCTTATATTCCACTCTAGTGCTGAGATTAAAGGCGTGGGATCCCAAGTACTGAGATCACCTTTGTGTGGGCTCTGTTTCTCTTTTAGACTGTATCAATTTCATATAACTCAGGGTGGCCTTGAATTAACAGGAGATCTGTCTGCCTCTGTCTCCCGAGTTCTGGGATTAAAGGTGTGCACCACCACTGCCTGGCCTCTGTGGCTAACCAGGGTGGCTAGCTTTGCACTCTGAGCTTCAGGCAAGCTTTATTTGTTAGATCATAAAGTATCACTGCACTTTCTAGCTTGTATGAAACTATTTGAGCATTCTTTATATTTCTGTGAGTTATATTTTAGGTATATATGCTAATTAACAACATACTAATAAAAGGAATAATAAAAACAGGCAGGCATTATGCTTGTTGCTTCATAGGTTTTTCTTCGTTAAATTCTGATGTCCACCCTAGGAAGTGGATGCTGTTATTCCTAATTTAAAGACACAGGATTAAAAAATAAGTATGTGTTCTCAACATTGGCAGTTATAAATTTTAAAAAATCTGGAAAATATTGACGATTCTTTATATCTTACTATATCAAATTCCAGCCAAGATTTAGTTCTTTGTTTAAAAATAAGCACATCCCTCTCAATAGTATGCAAATTCACTTTTGTCTTTAATAAATGATAAAATTATGTATGTGAAAGAATCATTTTGAATATTTATCATTTATTGTCAGTAAATGTTTGATTTATGTGCCTATTTTATATTGCACATACCCATATTCAGAGTTCTCAGGCAAAAAGGAAGTCACAAGTTGGAAAACTTTCGTTTGTTTGTTTGTTTTTTCTTTTGTTTTTCAAAACAGAGTTTCCCTGTGTAATAATCCTGACTGTAGACCAAGCTGACCTCAAACTCACTGAGATCCCCCTGCCTCTGCCTCCCGAGTGCTAGGATTAAAAGCATACACCACCACTGTCTAGCTCACAAGTGGAAAAACTTTAAAGACACCCTAGTACAAGCCAAATTCCCTCAGCTTACAATGCTCCTCCCTTCCATCCCTCAGCAGTACTAGGAACTGAACCAAGACCACATTCCTGCCAAGCAAGTGGTCTGCCACCAAGCTATCCCCCAGCATCACAGTCATCTGATGCTGTTGGATTGCAGGACATTGGTGACAGCACAAGCAAATCCTGCCTGCAGAGGGCTTGCAAACTAGTGAAAGAGATGCATTCAGACACGAATGACCATATTATAGACTAGCATATCTGTCTTAGTTTTCTGTTGCTGCAGTAAGACACCATCACCAAAAGCATCTAGGCGTGAAACTAGCCAGCACAATCTTTAGAAAGGTATGAAGTGAAAAGACATTTCACAGGAAACCTTCTGACTGAAATGATGAAGGAAACTACATGGGGAAAAAGCATATAAACTTGGCCTTGGATGTTAGGAAGAAATGGTGGAGAAGGAAATCAGAGATGGGGAAAAGAAAGCTTTCCAGTAAAAACCAATAACATGAAAAGCCATGGGAGACAATTAAAATAATTGAAGTAAAAAGTACAAACACAAAACATGCGTATGATGTGCGAAGTGATAATATTGCATGTGTACTATATATAATATAGTGTAAAAATATATTCCTTAGAAAGACACCAAAATAATTCTTTTAGCTTATTAAAACTGGATTTTCCCCCCTTTTCCCTGTTTTCTAATTTTATACTGTGTAAGCCTACTCACTACTTTTGGGTATTTGCATCATGAAAGTCAACCGTACCCTCTGTGTTCTTTGATGCCAGGCAGAGAGATGGGTCTTGTAACTGCTCTGTACCCCAGTCAGACCCAGCAGGCTCTATCTGCTCCTGATATGTAGGACTTTCTGGAAGCAGAGTTTTAAGACCTGCCTAGAATATAGCAATAAAAGCTAAGATAATTTTTAGTGTCTATTCTGCCAGTCTCAGAGTTGTATTAGTTCAGTTAGTCTTTATAACAATCTTGTGATGTCAGTGTCACTGCTGTTTTATTGATGTTATTTGAGTTTCAGTCATTTGCCCAAACTAGTGAATGATTGGGGCTAGGATTTGCATCCCAGGCCGTTGAGTCCAGACTTTAAACTCTGAATGTCTAGTATCCTTGCTCTCTGAGAAGGTTCATAGTTGGCTGGGGAGGACTGAGTTTGGAGAGGGATAAAGAACCTGTGAAAAACCTATCACCAACAAGATAGATCCTGAGAACAATTACTTCAGAGGTCATAGAAACAATTTCTTTGACAGTGTTATTGTTTAATTTTTTTAATGGGTATAGGTGTTTTGCCATCATATGTGTCTGTGTGCCATCTGCATGCAATACCTGTGGAGGCGAAAAGATTGTCAGATCCCCTGGAACTGAAGTTACAGATGATTGTGAGCTGCCATATGGGCAGTAGGAATTGAACCTGGGTCCTCTGCAAGAGCAGACAATGCCCTCAACTACTGAGCCATCTCTCCAGCCCTTTATATTATTTTCAGTTGTCTGTTTGTACGGGGTTATGTGCACATGAGCACGGGAGCCTGCAGGGGCATGGATCCCACTGATCTCCTAGCACTGGAGTTATGGGCAGTCATGAGCTGCCTGATGGATGCTAAGAATCAAACTCAGGTTCTTTTCCAAAGCAGTAGATGCTGTTTACCACTGAGCCATCTCTCCAACCGCCAGAGTTTATTATTAAGAGATACAGTTTGGGGCTTGGAGAGATGACTCAAAAGTGAAGAACACTTTCTGCTCTTCCAGAGGATCTGTGTTCAATTTCGAGGACCCACATCAAGTGACTCACAACTGCTTTTAGCTCTAGCTTCAGGGGATCCAACATCCCTTCTGTCTTCCAAGAGCATCTTAACAATGCTATATGCAGGTATACATGTTAAAAAATAAATCTTGCCAGGTGGTGGTGGTGCACACTTTTAATTCCAGCACTTGAGAGGCAGAGGCAGGCGGATCTCTGTGAGTTGGAGGCCAGCCTGGTCTACAAAGTGAGTTCCAGAACAGCCAGGGCTACACAGAGAACCCTGTCTTTGAAAACCGAAAAATGAATAAAGAAAACAGAATGAATCTTATAAAATTTTAAAGAATTATAGTTTAATCATTCAGAAGATCATGTTATTAAATTCTTTATAATCATATTTGTAAAAACATTGCAGTGGAGTTTTCCTCCCTGTTATCAGAATAATACTCTAAGGATGAAAGCTATCACTATTTGTTGGCATACTTGAAAAGATTACCCACATGTCACAGACACTTAATTTATTTATTTGTTTGTTTATTTACTTATTTATTTATTGCAGATTTGGCAGCAGTATTTTTCAGCAAAAGACACAGTCTACGCAGTTATTCCTGTAAGTGATTTGGAGGGGAAGTGGAAGTGTTGCAGCGTGAAGGTCAGCCCTTACTTTCCCTGTGCTTATGACATCTTGAGAACTACACTTTACAGCTCTGAGAGTCTTTATTGTGCCCTAAGTACCAGAGATTGGAAGCTTCATGTGGTGTATTTATGGCTTTTCTTTCCCCCTTTCTGGTCTAGAAATGTTTCCAAGTCTCTAACCAGGGAGGCTAGTGTAAGTTCATGTTTCTGAGTGATTTCCTGGTGCATTTTATTTCCTTTTCATTTTCCAGCCAAACTGCTGGGATTGAGGACACTGCCTCCAGCATAGTTTTCTTCCCTTCTTGTCTGTAAATGGCAGGTACCTGAGCTGACCTGGAGCTCCCTCTTGGCCCTTCTACGACTTTTCCCTTAGCAAGAGGCATTTTCTTGGTTCTACCTTCTTGACCTTGTCTTAGAGGTGATCACTGGCCATTGCCTTACCATTAAAGTCTATAACTAAGAAAGGATACAGCTGTCTTCTCTAATTAAGATATATCTTGCCGGCGGTGGTGGCGCACGCCTTTAATTCCAGCACTCGGGAGATAGAGGCAGGTGGATCTCTGTGAGTTCAAGACTAAGCCTGGTCTACCGAGCAAGTTCCAGGACAGGCTCCAAAACAATACAGAGAAACTCTGTCTCGGGGGAAAAAAAAGATTATATCTTACTCTAGATCAGGCATAGTGGCAAACAGCCTTTATCCCAGTGCTTAAGGGGTAGAAGCACAGGCAGACAGGTCTCTCTGAGTTCGAGGCCAGCCTTGTCTATATAGCAAGTGAAAAAAAGAAAAAGATTATATTTTACCTTAAAGTACATGGAAGAACAGTCTTATTCTCAACTTATATAAGATTAAGGAGGAAGACGCATACAGAAGGAAAAGCCAGGCCTTTTGATTTTAAAGAAATCCTTATCCTTGTTTTTTAACCTCTTATACATATATACTCCTTACCTTCATGAACTCCACAGTCTAAACAGTCTGTATTTGTCATTATGTTTTAGATCATTCATACCAACGTTTAAACAGGCCTTCTCAAGTCTCCCTTGGATTCACAGGGTTCCTTGGAGACTGTGAAGCATTGGAGCACTTCATCTTCACACATAATTTGTAGCAATGAGCAGCAAAGCATCTGGTTTATCCTGTCTTTTTATCATAAGAATGATTTGTAAATGATGGAATAATTAAAAGCCTGTTTCAGCCATAATATAGTTCTAGAATTCAGTCTTGGAAAATTCAGTTGATTGTGTTTTCTTATTTGTGAGTTAACTTTATTCTTTTCTAATTTGAAGAAAGAGAAGTTTGATTTGATCTCGAACCGGGCTCAGTCCTGCCCAACAGTAAGTCTTTGGTAACCATCTAGAATTGTTTATAAATGCTACCAAATAGTTGATTTCAAACCAGTCCTTCTCATGATATAATGTTCTATTAACAAAGGTGCTCACATGTTAATTGTACTAATAAGTGCTATTTTCATCCTTTTTTTATTTTTTTTATTTTTAAGTTTAAATTTAGATTAGAAACATGGTTGGTTCACAAGTCAGTTCCAGATCCCTCTCCCTTTCCCTCCCCTCCTCCCGTGCCCTCCCCCCAACTCCCCCATTATCCCCTCATTTCCCCAGGGAGGGTGAGGCCCTCCATGGAGGTGTCCATAGACTGTCATTTCATCCAGGGCAGAGCCTAGACCCTCCCCCCAAGAGTCAGAGTGAGAGTGCACCTCACATTGTTGGATGGGAGTCCAAAGTCCATGTGTATACTCGGGATGAATACTTATCTACTGCCCAAGGCTCAATAGATTACCTAGGCCTCCTCACTGACACCCCCATTCAGGGGGTCTTGATCTGTCCCATGTTGGATTCCCAGGCATCAGCCTGGGATTCAAGAGTTAACCCTTGTCAGGTCAGCTGTTTCTGGGGTTAAACCAGCCCAGTCTTAACCCCTTTGGTCATCAGTCCTCCCAGCTATTTTCATCCTTATAAATGGTGTTTTATAATGGCTCTCTACCACAGGGTAGGCCTTTCTGATAATGGGTCTTAATCTATCAGTGTATATGTATACAAATAGACACCTAAGAGTTCAGTGCAGTAATGCATACCTTTAATTCCATTAAGCCTGGTCTATATAGCAAGTTTCAGGCTAGCCAGAACTACATAGAGATGCCATGCCTCAATAAATTAAAGAATGTAATGGAAGGCACCTAAGACCTTAATCTTTGCAACCTTCTTAAGGTTCCTGTAGTAGAATTTTCTTTACAGTTTTGTCCATACTATTCTGATATGTGCCAAATTAAATTCTTCTTTTGTTGCTGAAGTAGTGAACCACCCAGAAGGCTCTAGGGAAAGGGAATGGATAGCTGATGTGACAACCAACTTGTCAGCAGTAGTTGCTAGAGTTTTTCTCAAACATTGCTTGCAGAAAATAAAGAATACCTAAGTAAATTGGAGACATATATCATGTTTGTGTGTTGGATGGCAATATTGCTAAATGTCAGCTCTTCTCCAATTTCATCTCTGATGCTTTCCTTCTTAGATGGGTTGAGAAATGTGTGGGTGTTTGTTAAGCTATCATATAATTAATTTCATAATTTAAAAAATGTTTTTAGCCGGGTGTTGGTGGCGCACGCCTTTAATCCCAGCACTCGGGAGGCAGAGGCAGGTGGATCTCTGTGAGTTCGAGGCCAGCCTGGTCTACAGAGCTAGTTCCAGGACAGCCTCCAAAACAATACAGAGAAACCCTGTCTGGAAAAACCAAAAAAAAAAAAAATGTTTTTAAAGCCAAGCATTATGGAATGAGGATATAAGTCAGTTAGTGGGTTACTTCACCTAGCATGCACAAAATCCCAGGTTCAATCCCCAGCACCCTGTAGACTGGGTGTGGTGGCACATGCTTAACCCAAGACTTGAGAGATAGAGGCGGGAAAATCAGAAGTCAGGTCATGTTTGGCAGTACCTGGGTTTAAGGCCAGCCTGGGATACATGAAACACTGTCTTTTACAAAAAAAAAAAAAAAAAAAAAGGGAGGCAGAGAAAAGAAGGAAAGAAGGAAGGAAGGAAGGAGGGGAAAGGAAGAGAAATTAAAAAGACAAACATTGAAGAATTAGAGTGGTGTAAGTGATTAGACATTGAAAACTGCCTCATTTATTCATCTGTCTGCCTGTTCTTCTGTTTCCCACAGTTTCTTTGTGCACTACCAAGAAGAGATGGTTATGAGTTCTTTGTAGGACAGTGGACAGATACTGAACTCCACTTCACTGCACTTATAAATATTCAGGTAGGTAACATATGCCCTACAAACCACGGGGTAGAAAAAGGAAATGTGTCCTTTGGTGATGTTAGAAACCTTTCTGGGGTCTGGGATACAGTATCTACTGACTCCAGCAGTACTTGCTGTGGCACTGATGAATTGTCATACATTGACAATTTAGGCTAGTTTTCTAGGCCTTGCTTAATACCAGAAGTTTGAAATCAGAATACTTTCACTGGCTTTCTTTTGTCCTCTCCCTAGACCTCTATGACATCTATTTCATGTGCCTACTTAATAGACGTGGATAAGTCAATATGTTATTTTCTTTTTTTTCTGTTTTATATCTTTCTTTTTCATAAATTATTATTTTAATTGTTTTGTTCCCAAACTTAGACATATAAAGTTACATACTACAACAGTAATAATGAAAACATTTCAAACAAAATGTGCTATTATGAATTAACAACATGCATTTTTCAGGTAGTCTCATTCTATTCTCATTTTTCTAATGGAATATGTAATTACCTGTGAAATACTAATGACAAATTAAATGCAACTCAAGGTGCTTTGCTCATTTACTCTCACTCAACTATTAATAGCATATTGTTAATGTTTATATATATATGCATATATATAATGTGTTTTTATTCTAAGATGTTATTTTCTTAACTGAAGCTATAAGCCCATTGAGTAAGGCTCCATGTCTCACCTGTGTTTTAGTAACCAAGATAGCCTGCCTCTTCCCCACTGGTAGATGAATAGTTTTCATTTGATGAATATTAATTTATTTGCTTTCTTTTCTTTCTCTGTTTTAGTCTCAAAATATTTATTAGAGTAAAAAATATAGCTCAAAATATACTTGAAGCTCTTTTAAAAAGAAGTCAGTATTTTAGTTCACAATAACTAGAATTAACATTCTATATTTGGAGCTCACGTCTGATTAAAAAATCATGTATTGTTTTGACATTGAGGCAGATGGCATAAAACAGAATAAGGAGCAAGTTTTTCATTGTTGTTTGGTAATTTGTTGAGTATATGCTGTGCTAACATTTGATAGATATTATACAATGGGTGTTTATACTTATCATTTAATCTTCTCAAATGAAGTAGCTACTATTATTATTTCTATTTATAGAGAGGTAAGTTTGTTTGTATTACTAAGTAATAAACTATTTCAAGTTTAGGTTATCTGACTCCAAAGTCTATAAACTTAGATATTTACCACTGTCTTGAGAACTCTGCTAGGTCCTATAGATGTGTGAGAAAAGGAAAGAAGGAAGGAAGGAGTTCATAGAGAAGTATATGAGAACGTATATGATTGATAGAGTTCGTAGCTAACTATAAGAGAAAGAGCCAAATACAGAATGGATGTTAACTCTAAATGTCTTTGTTTGCTTTCTGTTGCTGTGATAAAACACCATTCCAGAAGCAACTTAAGAAAGACAGGGTTTATTTGGGCTTAGAGTTCCAGTGGGAGGATTCATGATGGCCAGGAGGCATGATAGCAAGTGACCAGAGCCAGAAGCTGAGAGGTCACTCTTCAATCACAAACATAAAGCACAGAGCAAACTAGAAATGGGTGGAGCTATAAACTCTCACAGCCTCCCTCTGCTGCCAAGATGCACCTCCTCCAGCAAAGCTCCACCTCCTAAAGGTTCCCTAACTTTCCCCAAATAGTGCCACCATCTGGGGAGCAAGTGTTCAAATACCTGAGCCTTTGGGGGACAGTCTTCCTTTCAACCCCTACAGTCTCTAATGCTTTCTTTCTTACATGGGCTAGAAGTATACTCTGTTTGTGATATTATCATGTATGAATTTCATAACTTAAACTCCCAGAAAATCTTTCAGAAACATAATGATCAAAATAAGTAGTATATATTAGGATTGTGGCCAGAATGTTAGTGTATTAAAAGTGTATATGAGGGAACTAAGAAGGTGAACTGGTAAGAGTCCCTTAGCAATAGTTAGCTACAATAATTAAAGGATGCTTGCTAAAGCTTTAGAAATGAATGCACTAGTTCGTAGAAGTGGCAATTACACGGGCACATCGCTTCCTTTAGAACTTGACTTGGTAGCTGCCTGTACCATTTTGTTTTTAAATGTATGGCCACAATGAAGGATTCACTGCCTCCGTAAACATTCTCTGGGAAAAAAGCCAGATCTTTCCCAATTGAAGATACAAATAACACCATGAAAACTGTCAGTTCACCATACCTTTGCAGGCCTGACCTTGCCCCTACATACCAGTCCTCTAAGTCACTAGCTACCCAAAGGGCTATTAAGAGCTAGAATTTCCTCCAGACTCTGTTGCTTTGCAATTGCAGTTTGTCGTGTTGGTACCTTATTGAACTTTGATAAGTGTTCCTCCATGCAGACCCGAGGGGGATGCTGCAGCCAGCCAGTTGATTTTATATCACTATCCTGAACTTAAGGAAGAAAAAGGCATAGTACTGATGACAGCAGAAATGGATTCCACATTTCTGGTAAGAATCTACATTTGCCTTTAGGTTTACCTAGTAGTCCTGCAAGTGTTAACTCTTGTCAATGTCTCATATCTAGATTAGGGAAAGATACCTTTGTGTATTTTGTTTCTCATGGTTGAAAATAATTTTGTCATGCTTACATGCATCTAAGTTGAAGTACAGTTATCGACAGATAAGTGGATGGTTTTGTTGTCGGTGCTGGTTTGTTTCTTTTTACTTTTTTTTTTTTTTTTTTTTTTTTTGGTTTTACGAGACAGGGTTTCTCTGTATTGTTTTGGAGGCTGTCGTTCCAGCTCAGCCTCGAACTCACAGAGATCCGCCTGCCTCTGCCTCCCGAGTGCTGAGATTAAAGGCGTGCGCCACCACCGCCCGGCTTTTCTTTTTACTTTTTAAGTGTGTGTGTAGGTATGAATATGTATGTATGAGTACAAGTTCCCTCAGAGGCCAGAGGCATTGGATATCAACATGGATGCTGAAACTAGAACTCAAGTCCTCTGGAAAAGTGATACATGCTCTTAACCACTGAGCCACCTCTCCAGCCCCAATTTAAAAAATAAAAGGCTTAAATGAATGCTTTATAGAATGCAGTACAGCATACAGAGACAAGAAGCACACACAACCTACGTTATTTATAAATTCATCTGCATCATTCTATAGCTGGACATAGTATTATTTTTTTTTTTTGCTTCCTGTGTTAAGAATTGAAACTTAGAACTTGCATTTGTTAAGGCAAGTGCCCTAGACTGAATTAAGTCCAAGTCGACATAGGCAGTCATTTTTAAGTGATTTTTTTCCCATGTTTGATGGGGGTGCTTTTGTCTGTATAAACACAGTAATAATAGATAAATATTTCTGGCCAGCTAGAACTATAGAATATGTAGAGAAAAAAATGGTTATTTCAGTTAATTGTTTTTTTCTTCTATTTAATTTACTATTATTGTATGTGTATGATGGAGAGAGGTTGTAATCACAGCACATGTGTGTGAAGATCAGAGAACAACTCTGTGGAGTCATTTCCCTCCATCCATCTTTATTTGGGCTCCAGGGATCAAGCTCAGGTCTGAGGCAAGGGCATTACCAAACAAGATGTCACCAGCGCTCAGTTAATTCTTCTAAGGATGCTGCCCATTCATTCCCCTGTATAACCACCTGTCACATAATATGGTCCCCATTCCCTGACGTGCACTTTCTGTACCTTGGAGTTGATTGTAAATGGTCACATACAAATTGTCCCATGGTTATGGGATGAGAACTCAGAAGCAGCTTAGCTGGGTGATCCTGGTTTTCAGCCTCATGAGGTTTCTGTCAAGATGTTGCTAGAACTGCAGTCATCTGAAGATTGACTGGGCTTAAGGATCCACTGTTTTCCTGACACACTGACTTTTCTGTAGGGCTACTTGGATGTCTTTTTAATATGACAGCTTTCCCCAGAACAAGTGATTCAAGACATATTCTTTTATGTCCCAATTGTTAGAAGAACAAGTGATTCAAGACATATTCTTTTATGTCCCAATTGTTAGAAGAACAAGTGATTCAAGACATAGTCTTTTATGTCCCAATTGTTAGAAGCAACTCACTAAGTCCAGCCTCACACTAGGAATGGAGGTTGGTGTTGATGGATTCTTTCCCACCTTTTGTTTTTGTTTTTTTGTTTAATTAAAAACTGTTTGGCCAATTGCTTAGGCATGTTACTAGTTAGCTCTCTCTTAATTATTAACCCATAACTATTAATCTATGTATTACCACAAGGCTGTGGCTTACCCGTAATCCAGCACTTACTCCTTCAGCAGCTACATGGCATTCCTTTGTGGCTCCTCTCTGCATCCTCTCCCCAGAATTCTCCTCATCTCGTAGCCTCACCTATACTTCCTGCCTGGCTACTAGCCAATCAGTGTTTTATTTATCAACCAATAAGGAAACCTATATACTGAAGGACATCCCCCATCAGGTTGGACTCTTCCAAAGAAGGGAGGACCATAAGAATGTGTACATTTTATAACCATCACAATTGGCTTTGGCACTGTTTTCCTGACTGGGGTGCTATCAATAACAGGTTATATTCAAGAATGTCTAATTAGTCAAAAACTTAGTACTTGCAAACTGGTTCTTAAAACTGAATAACTCTTGTCCTTCTCCCTCCTATGGATATAATGGTTATTTAAGAACTAAATGAAAAAAAGAAATTGTGATCATATGAACTAACTTACCTAGCAAACATCATGCCACTATGTAAAGGAACATACAAATAAGTCATGATGTCTATGTCTTTGAGGAATTTATATTAGAGAATACATATCAAAATGACAAATATAAGAGAAAGTGATGACAGTGGTAAACATACAAGTAAGTCATGATGTCTATGTCTTTGAGGAATTTATATTAGAGAATACATATCAAAAATGACAAATATAAGAGAAAGTGATGACAGCGGTAACTAGGATGCCTTGGTTACATGAAGGAGGAAATCTAACCAAGACTCGAGAAGTCAGGGAGTCATAGAAGCTTTCTAGGAACAGTGCCTGCCCTATAGAACTCAGACACAGAGCTTTGGGCCTGCGCAGGAAAGTATCTCACTACTGCCGTTGCCTTGCAGAATGTTGCTGAGGCACAGTGCATCGCCAATCAGGTTCAACTCTTCTACGCCACTGATCGGAAGGAGGTCTTTGGGCTAGTAGAGACCTTTAACTTCAGACCAAATGAGTTCAAATATATGTCTGTCATCGCTGAATTGGAGCAAAGTGGACTTGGAACAGAACTGAAATGTGTTCAGAACCAGGATAAGACTTAGAGACATCTTGATTGACCCTTCACAGAGTTGGCTCAGTCCTGGATAGCCTCAAGCCCACCCACACCCTTGACCTCCAGAGCTCAACATCTGCAACAAGCAGTCTGAAAAGAGTTATTGTGTATGCTTATTACAAGAAGTGATTATGGGCATGAGCCCTAATACTTGATATTCAGGAACAAAGGTATACAAATATTCTGATAATTACCTCTCAGCCTACGGGTTCCTTTTATGTGTTTCTGGGCATTTGAAAAAGGAATTATTCAGGGATCTACAAGACTATTGGCTGGGTTTTATTAGGTGTAACAGTGAGGTTGACTGCAAAGCTCCCAGTTCTATGTCTTCATAAACCTGTAGCAATAAGCTTGAGATCTTAGAGATGTCAGCTTTGCATATTCTTTCCATGTACCAGTGAGCTGGCTAAAAATATAACCCAAAAATCCTGGCCACACTCAGTACAACCAGCTATGTTCCTCAAAAGGAAGACTTCTAGAATCTCCTCCAGAGTTGCCTTCAGTGTAACTTGGGCTTTCAGGTATAGTTAAATAAACAGATACAATGCCTGCATACTGTTAAACCAACACTTATGGCCCCACTCTCTGAACTCTGCCTGTGAGAAGCTGATTAATTAGTTCAGTGTAAATAAAACCTTTTTGTAAGATCATTCCAGATTTGCATGATTTTTTAAAAAAGCATTATATGAAAATGTGGGCAGAAGCAAATGTTCCCAGATTGAGTGTGGAAAATGTAGCAATAAAGTCTGGTTTTCAGCCTTTGTAACACAAAATAGTGGCACCAGTGCTGTGGGCTAATTTTATCAGAACTCATCTTGGGGCTCAGTGATTTCTTGAAGTGCCACAAATAAGCAAGTTATTCACCACCAGAAACACATGTATTATTCTGTAGCTCCAAGTTCACATGTGAAAAGAATAGTGGTCCATACCCGCCTCATTAACTCAAAGTCCCAGGTCCCCCAGCATCATTGCTGGTCCCTGTACCATACCTCTCATTTAATCTAATGTGCTCCACCTCCATCTGCCACCGTAGTCTGATGTTAAATGCCACCAAAAATGAATAGGAATTTAAGTAGTGTTTTCAGTTTCTGTGTGTGTGTTTTTATTACAGATTTGTTTGTAGGTTAGGTGTGGTGGTTTGAATAACAATGGTCACCATAGGCCCAAGGGGTAGAACCATTTGAAAGGATTAGAAAGATTAGGAGGTGTGGCCCTGTTGGAGGAAGTGTGTCACTGAGGATGGGCTTTAAGGTTTTAAAAGCCCATGCCAGGCCCATAGTGTGTCTCCCTCTTTCTTGCCTACCTTCCCTCCCTCCCCCCCTTCTCTACCTCCCCCTTTTCCTCCCCTCCCCCCTCTCTGCATGCAGGTGAGGATGTTGCTCTCAGCTGCTTCTATAGTATCATTCCTGCCTGCTGCCATGCTATCTGCCATGATGATAATGGACTGAGCCTCTGAAACTGTAAGCAAGCCACCAATTAAATGATTTGTTACAAAAGTTGTCTTGGTCATGGTGTCTCTTCACAACAATAGAACAGTAACTAAGACAGTAGGGTTGGCCATCCCATTGTTTTCTAGACAGAGAAACAGTGTTTATTTGAACAGAAGCTGTGCTGTGCTTTCAGTTTCTCTAAAGGTTGAGTTGTTTTCTGATGCACCTTCTAGACCCTCCATGGGCCCAATAGGGCACATTTGAGAACCCTGCAGTTCTCCTTAAATGCTTTCCATGCTTCTACGTGATATACATCTCGAGACTTGGCATTGGGTGGGGCTGCTTTTGTGGGTATCCAGCATGTTTGTTTGTTTTTCTCCAGATAGACCCAGTTCTTAGTCATAGAACATTTTTAAGACACTTACTAAAGGGTGAAAAGATGAAAAAATTTTAAAAAGAACTAGCCATTCATTTCATAGCTCCTCCCAGCTTTGCCCTCAATCCTATGTTGACAAATAAGGATGATATATCCATGGGTAATTATATCAGATGTGACTGAAGTACTCTCTGACTGTTAATATTTATTTTACCAAAGAGATCTAGCAAGTAATAAATTAAAACTATAGCAGTTAGTCTGTAAATGTCTTCCCTGATCCCAGCATGGTGTTTCTAAGGTGTACTTTGGAGCTCATTGAATTGGGTTCAGATATCAGCATTAGCTTGTTAATGATAAATTACTTAAACTCTAGTTCTTACCTTTTTTTCTAAACATGGGCATGATATCTAACTACCTCATAGGATTTTTTTTGAGACCTCAGTTAGTTTATATATAGACTACAATAGATTTTAGTACATGCTGGGCCCCTTCCTCTTCTTTGCTTCTTCATTAAAGACCAGCACAGGGGCTAGGAACAGCTCGGTGGTGGAGCTTTGTCCCTGGCACGCATCAGGCCCAGTGTTTGGTTCCCAGCACGAGACAGGAAGAAAGTTAAGTCAGCATTTCAGATGCACAGATCTTCATTTCAGCTTAAAGAACCAATTCTGTCTCACTGGTTCTCAACTTGAGATACAGTGCAATCATTTAAGGCACTTAAAGATGCACTTCCTAGGCACTGACAGACTGAACCAAAGTGTGCAGAGAACACTGACCACCTGCATCTTAGCATGCATTCTGTTAATTCTGATGTGGGTAATTAGTGAGCCTTTGTGAACCATTGCCTTATCCCTTATGAAAATGTCCACTGGATGGGTCTTTTCTCACCTACAGACATTCACATAGGATGCAGATTCCTCTGCTTTTTGTCTTCCTAGCAGTCCCTTTGTGTACTCAGATACATTGCATTATATTTATTTTTGTGTGTTTACTCCACTAGACTGTGAGCTCCTTGAGGGCCAGGATTTATCTTTATTCTCAGTGCCAAGGACATGACCTGAACCACAAAATAAACTCAGTTGTTGAACCAATAAAGGATACAGATTTTAGCCATGAATTCTTATTGACTTATGCATTTCTGTTTGAATCCTGTAATGTTGTGGTACCCTCCAGGCTCCTGTGTTCAGTCCACTGCTGGTGGCACTATTTGGGAAGGTTGTAGTACCCAGATGGCAAAGGTAGATCAGGAAGTAAGCCTTAAACATTATGCCAGGTTCTAGTTCAGGATTACTCTGTTTCCTGATCCATGGCCTCAATGTGAACAAGCCTCAGCTGCCACCCCTCCAGCTGCTGTGAACTCTGCCAAGCCTCCCCAGCCCTGATGGACTGACTACACCTGCTGAGAGCACAAACCCAGTAAATCCTTTCTTAAGCTGTCTATCAGATGTGTGGTCACAGAGACACAAAAGTGACTAGTGGTACACTTGAACCTAAGATTATCTATCCTCTCTCTCTCTCTCTCTCTCTCTCTCTCTCTCTCTCTCTCTCTCTCTCTCATACTCATTCTCACTCTCTCCCACTAGTCCCATCCCAAAGAGGGTTTTTTTATTAGTAGTATTTTTTAAAAAATTATGCTGAAGCCGGGCGTTGGTGGCACACGCCTTTAATCCCAGCACTAGGGAGGCAGAGGCAAGCGGATCTCTGTAAGTTCGAGACCAGCCTGGACTACCAAGGGAGTTCCAGGACAGCCTCCAAAGCCACAGAGAAACCCTGTCTCGAAAAAAAAAAAATCATGCTGAGCCATGATGGCAAACACCTTTAATCCCAGCACTCAGGAGGTAGAGGCAGACAGATCTCTGAGTTCGGGGCCAGCCTGGTCTACAGAGTGAGTTCTAGGATAACCAGGGCAATTACACAGAGAAAAACCCTGTCTCAAAAACCAAAAACAACAAATTAAACGTATAGGTATTTTTCCAGTATGTATGTTTGCACATCACATGTATGTGTGGTGCCTATGATGGCCAGAAGAGGGTGTTGGATCCCCTAGACCTAGAGTTCCAGGTGTTTGGGAGCTACCATGTGGGTGCTAGAAATCAAACCCAGGTCCTTTAGAAAGGAGGCCAGTGCCCTTAATAACGAAGCCATCTCTCCAGCCCCAATGTCTCTCAGATGGTTGAGGCAGGATCTCATATAGCCCAAGCCGGCTTCATTATATGTCCAAAGCTAGCCCTGATCTGCCTGCCTTCACCTCCTAAGCACTGGAATTACAGGCATGAACTACTATCCCTGGCTTCTCTTTCTTTTAGGTAGTAAGAAAGTTATTTTAGTGGTAGGAATTAAACCTTTACACATGCTAGGCAAACACTCCACCAGGGAACTATATCCCCAGCTATAGCAACTCAGCAGCTGCTCACAGAGCACCTACTGCTGGGGTCAGTGCTGCACATGGGAGGCTGGGGAAGGGTGTGACCCCTGCTCTCAAGCTTTGTATCTGCCACCTGTTTCTTGCCTCTGATTCTGAGCCTTATATCTAGAACCTGGTCTTGCTTTGCCTTATTCTCAGAATATCCATACTTGTTTTGTTTCTCTTCCAACTCATTTAGAAGGCAGAGCTATTCTAGACAAGAGTATAGTCTGAGAGAAGAGGCACAGATGCCCACTCCCCCAGGCACTTGATAAAAGTTTATTTAGGCAGTTACACTTACCAAGCACCTGTTTAGATAAGCACTTAAAGTGAGAATATAGCAGGCAACAGGACAGACAGGCTTATATTCCCATAACAGAGACAAGTAAGTCAACTAAGAATCAACTCAAATACCAGCAGCTGTAAAACATAATGTAATGGACTGTTGAGTGAAAGCAACGACTTACTAGCCAGAAACGCCATCTTCACTGTTGAATATGTGAGCTGGAAAGAGAATGCCAGGTGTGAATACCAGAAGTGAAGCAGGTTGAAATCTAACCATGGTCTTTTCTGGCCATAGGTTGAGTCCTTGCCCTTGATCAAGACACTGACATGCACAATGACAACACAAGGCAGTAACCAATGCCATCTCAGAGAAGGGCAGGGAGGGCTTGCCCCTATCTGTTGTGTCAGGAGACACAAGGCTTGCTAGAGCAGGGTACCTGCTAAGGTTGTAGGCAGCTTATAGCCTAAAAGAAATAACAGGGAAAGATTACTAAAGCCTCAAAAGATGTGTTTTATGCGTATGCACATATACATACAAGATGGAGGAAAGAGTGAGGGACTTTTCATGCAAAACATAGAAGATCCTTTGAGTCCAAGTCACAATGTGTACACAGTAACAATAGCCACTAGCATTTTCTGGGGCCTTATCATATATCAGACACTACATGGGTTTCCTTTGTCCCACCTGGAGATCACCAGGAACCTGCTGAACTGGGATAGAGATGCACTGCCTACTCTCCTTACACTCTCCTGCCCTCCCCACACCTCCAACTCAGAGGAGAGCTACTTCCAGTCCCCTCAAACTCCAGCCATAGCTGTGAGCTCAGGTCACCAGAAGGCAGGGGTACTACCAGAGCCAGTCCAAAGACACTTGTCTGCCAGCTCTCCTGGGGATAAAACAACAAAGTGAGTGTTTTGAAGGACACCCTTGTCTAACTGGCAAGAACCCTTCTGGTGCGCTGCTTGATGCTCATGGGGCATTTGGTCCTCTCCGTTCTGCTGGTATAACAATATGGCGGCATTTTTATTTCTGTCTGCTAATGGAGAGACTTCAGGCAAAGGAGAGAGGTGGCTTAAAAGCACCTGCCTGCATCAGGAACCACACCCAGAAAAGACAGGGGGGGAGGAGGAGGAGGAAGAAAAAAGAGGAGAAAGAGG